ACACAAATTGTTCTACATTTTAAATCCTTTTTTGTCCCTCTTTAAGGGATTTTTATTTTTTAGATTCAAGGTGGCAGAGGGACCATAAGATTTCTCCTTTTTCCTTTTTTCCCAAAACACACTAAATTATAGTAAAGGAGTGAAAATAATAGAGGCCAATGATGAAATAGAGAATTCTAGGGACATATCAGTTGAAGAGAGTTTGAATGACTTCTTTTTTTCTCGCTTTCTCCAGGGGAGAGTGCACACACAGTCCGCCACTAACACAAATTATGCAGTGGAGTTTCCCACATTTCAGGAAATCACAGGGGTCAAGCACATCCGCAGTGCAATGGATGAGCCTCACCCCGGGGAAACCACCTTCGTGATCACAGTAACTCCCCTGCCAGTGAATGACTTCTTTTAATTTTAGAAGCTATATTTTTAATGCAATATATGCTCATGGACTTTCTAGACAGTATTTTAAAATACACAATCTCTCCTAAAGAAAATAGTCAACTACTAATAACATAAATAATTTTAATGTAAGTAGAATGTTACTAGATGTTAGTATAAAAGTTATCATCAGGTGCAATGTAGAGAAATCTGGGATTTTCCTGTAAAGAATAAAATAATCTTACTCTTGAGCCACTTGTTCAATAACATGCTGGTAATCTTCTGCTAGTTCTTGAAAGCTTTCTTCCAGCTGTTCATGTTGCATGCTTATTTCTATTTGGTTCATCCGATTTGCCAATTATTCTGGCCTGATACATTTTCTCATTTTAGCAAGATCTCTCTGCTTTTTCTTATAAGGGCTGACTAGTCTCTTACTATTCAGCCTGTAGCTTGTGTATTGCTCAAGGTCACTCATTGCAGTCACCAGCAGATGAAGAATTTTACAAACCCATCTAGCATGTTGTTTATTTATTTTGAACTTTTTCTGTGCTTCTATTATCATATCTTCATTGAATCTTGGCTTGAATTTTTCCCAGGAGAAACAAGGCAAATCTTGACAAAGCTTCACAAGCACAAAATCTCTTAATTTCATGTAACTTTTGGGTGGATCTTCCGCTGTCATATCAAGAACTGAAGGAAATGCAATGCAGTATCTGTGAACTGTTTCAGGAAGTTGAGCACCATGAAGAAACTGGCAAGGTATAAATGTAACACCAACACAGCACTAAAATTAGTTTATTTTCCTGAATTTTTCAATGATGGGAAAGAGATAGAAGGGAACTAGAAAGTAAGAGAAAGTCATAGCACAGTCCACAGGAAAAAGGTGACATAAGCGAAAGGTAAGCCAGTTGTTATGGTTTGTGTCTGAACGTCCCTTCAAAGCCCGGTGAAGTCATGGGGCAGGTTTCTAGAGTTATGATAGATTCCTGGATGTGAATGCTACACCCACCCTTGGACGGGTAGTTTGCATACAATGTAACATGGAGGGAAAGAGGCTGCTTGCCACTGCTCCTCCCTTTTGCTCTTGTTGCTTTTGCTGTCTTCTGCCGCTATGAACTGTTGCCTTCTGCCATGTGCCACTCTGCCTTGGAGCCAGCCAAATATGGACTGAAACCTCCACAAACTGTGAGCTAAATGAACCTTTCCTTCCTTAATTCTGGGCATCAGGTATTTTGTCTCAGCAGTGAGAGAAAACTAACCAAGACACCAATGCTGCTTGCAAATTCCCAGACTGAACTGGGACTCACAACACTGACAAAAGTGCTAGGATTGAGCAGAAACAGGTATAGCAGTAAAACAGAAGTCTAGTTGCAGAGTAGGGATGGAAGCTATTAAGGCTGTTCATGTGGTCACCTGCAACTTGCACTTGGCCATTTGGAGATCCCCTCGCCCTTCAACTGACGGAAGGTCAGCCTCTCTCCTACCTTACAATGACTCCTGCCAGGAAGTGAAGTGTGTTGCTGCACACAGAGCTCTGATGCAGCTTCAGAGTGTGTCAGTTTTGAATCTGAAAGGGTGATTAACAACCAGGGCAAAGACTGGCATGGCACACGCAGGACAGCAGCGGGGCTCTGTAGCAGGGACAGCACAGCAGTGAGTGCTCCACACCAGATCTTACTTCTTAAGTCCACACCCATAACAAGGACCAGGGTTCCTAGAAGAGATCCCTGATCCCTGTGGCTACAGCAGAAAAGTTCCAGATGAACCTCTGGAATCCTTATTGAGCCACAACGAAATGACTGAATAGTAATGGAGGCTATTTCTAAAAGACAGGGGCCAACAGGGAAGCATTTGAATAGCAAAGTAAATAAAAATATTAGTGAAATGTAAGATACTGGATAAACTAAGAATCCATCAGCTCATATTGACATAAGTATCAAGACAAGTAAGCAAACATAAGTGGAGAGAAGAGAAAGATTTTTCTTTCAATAAAGCACAAAGTAATAACTAATAATTTTATATTTTTATAAAATCAGAAAACTGTAAATGATTCCCAATTAGGGGTTAAAAGCTTAACAAGAAACGTCAAAATACTGTCAAAATATTGACATGTAAATTATCAACTACAACACAAGAAAATGGTAAATTTATAGTGAAGAAATCTGAAGCACACTACTTTCATCAAATGACAAAAGTGAAGATCAAACTTGCATAAATCAATATAATGTATCCTCTGATGCAGTGCTCTGAGGGTGTAGCTTCGTTTCTATGATATTTCTACCAGCAAAAGCATTATATGAATTCAGTCATGAGAAAAGCTAGGCAAACCCAAATCAAGGGACACTGTATAAAATAAGTGGGCTGCATTCTTCAAATTGAATGAGGTCAAGAAAGAAAAAGGTTAAGAATCAGTTGAAGAACAGTAGAGAGATACACACTGTACGATACCAGATGCTGGACTAGAGAAAAGGAACTATCACTGACAATTGACTAAATCTGAGCATACATGGTGAATTAGGTAATAGTATGATATCACTGTTAAGTGCTATTAATTTTCCAAATTTCTGTGACTATATGGCCCTAGTTCTTAGGGTAAATGTCATGACAACATGATGCCCCACTTCACTGGTATATGTAATACATATATATAAATTATATAGATTATATTATATATGTATGAATATATCTACATAAGTAATACAAAATATAAACATTTCATAAATAGACCTGTAGGATTTTTTGTATGCCTTTATATATATAAAGATATATATGATGGCATATATATACATGAAGGTATATACATATGACAAACTATAAACATTTAATAAACTAGGCATATAAGACTTTTTGTACTATTATCATAACTTCTATAAGTGTGAAATGTTTAAAATTTTTAAAAAAGTGTTGCAATACAAAACAATTTTGGCCTCAGGGGCTGGGGATTTAGCTCAGCGGCAAAGCGCCTGCCTGGCAAACGCAAGGTCGTGAGTTCGGTTCCCGGTACCGGAGGAAAAAAAAAAAAAAAAAAAAAAAAAAATAAATGTTAGCCGTGATGATAGAATCTAGACACTTGAGGTTGGCAGGGAGCACAAATTACCCACTCAGTACTTCATACCCTGGAATGTATGAATTTTACCAGTAACCACCCATCTGTAGGCATCCATTTTCAGAAGGCCCTATTCTTTTCTTTTCCTTTTTACAGGCATATCTGTCTTGATATACCTCTTGCTGCTTCTCCTGATCATATTTATTTAACCAAACTCCTAGAATGAAAGCTTAACATCTGTGTGTGTGTGTCTGGTGTCTATGACCACAGGTTATCTCCCACTTTGAGTTCTGGAAAGGAAATAAGTAAGAACTATCTATCTTTTGTTTTGTTTTGTTTTGTTTTGTTTTTTGTTTTTCTCCGGTACCAGGAACCAAAGTCACGACCTTGTGCTTGCCAGGCAGGCGTTTTTGCCACTGAGCTAAATCCCCAGCCCGAACTATCTGTCTTTGGATGATCACTTATAGCCCATCAATTGGTTTTAAAATAGAAGAATATTAAATATTGTTAAATACTAAGTAAAGTACATCTACCTCTTAAGAGCAAAAGCTGTGTTTTATTTATCTCTATATTTCCAGATCTTACAACGGTGTTTGTTGGTAGGTATCTGCTGAATGAGTAAATATCTTCTTGATAATGGTCAGTTTCTTGGGCCATTATACTTGCTAAGGTATTTTTATCACTTCAAAATTCTTAACATGGTGGCTAGAGCCCCATAAATTTTGATGCGTTAATAAATGAAATTTACAATGAACTATACAACACTTTGCACCCACAAAGCAGAGATTTAACAAGTCAAGTCAATGAACAATTAACTGAGCGCCTTCTTGGAGGCAAGAGTACAATAAATACTTGACACCTGAAAGAATGGGCTTTAATTCAAAACATAAAGTATTTTGCTTCTGTGAAGAGAGATTTCTCTGTAAGCAAGACAAGGACCACCTTCTAAGTACAGACCACAAATTATTTCAAGTGCTTTGATGGCAACTATTGTTCCACAGAATAAGCACTTCATCCTTTATCACTAGCTATATATATAATCAGAGGTGAAAAAGGTGAGGATAATAAAACCTATCCATTGAAAAGGGGAGAAAATACTGTGTAAAGTTAGAGTTGGCTTTCCTTTACTGAGCATATCTTAGAAATTCCTAAAGATGTAATTTCACGCCTAAGGTTTTAGTTATAATTTTTCCAAGAATCTCTGGGGTTCACTGGTTAAAGCTGAGATTAAAGACAAAAAGAAGGCAAAAATGAATCAAAATGGAATCAGGACACTAGTGAAAGGAGAGAAGAAATTTATTTCTTAGCATTTAACAACTAACAAACGTTCCTATTCATAATCAGCATAGAGAAATAACAACTGTAATGTATTTGGAATAAATTTGAGACACACCTAAGGAATGTTTACAACTGAAATCTCAATATAGGAAGAAATCTTGGCTATGCATCACTCTAACCTGGTTATATAGTCGAAAATCTAAATAAAATTTGGGTAAAGTGAACCATTACAGGTTTAAAAAGATTGATGAATTCAAGAGCAGAAAAACACAGTAAAATAAATGGCCAGGACAAAAATGTGCATGCTTAATAAAACAGATTTATTAAGAGACTAGAAGTAAAGCCATTTCCCACCCACACCCAATTGGAAATACAGTGATGTCGATGCAGAAGTTAATAATATATGAATAGAGCAACCCTAGGAGGCAGACTACCCGCTTCACTGCTAAGTTTAAATATGTCTGGAAAATGCGCCCTGCTTTCCTAGGCTGTAAATGCATATCAGCTTGACATCTGAGTCCTGAGTGACTTGTTCATTATCATGGAAGAGCAAGATTCAGTAAGCAGCAGTCAGTAGCTCAGAAGCACATCTAGAGGCAGGAAGACAGTTATGGCTCTTCAGGTTGTTCCTTTTGCAGAGAACTGATCGGGAATCCTGTTGTCGCCGGAGCCACTGGTCCATCAGTAGGTGCTGTAGCCAAAGCCAGAGCCAGAACCCCACGGCCTGTAAAAGCTGTTGCCATAGCAACCGCCATTGCAGCCCTCTAAGCAGAAGTTCCGGGAGCTGTAAGGACTGAATCCGCAACTGGAGTGCAGGGGAGAGCCCAGGGGCACAACGTAGTTCAGGGGGGTGTCTCTGTAGGTCCCGTGGAAGTTGGTTCCGTAGCAAGGATAGCCCCGGAAGTAGTTTCCACAGCAGAAATAACGAGTCATGGTGGCAGGAGCTGAAAGGAGCTAGATAGATTATGAAGGAAAGATACCCAAGTGTGAATGAAGGTCTCCTCCTGTGCACGGCTTTTTATACCTCCAGCCAGTGGGCAGGACATGCATGTCTACTCATCTTCCGAAAGATTTGCATAAACAATCCCATTATTTTCTAGCAAAATGCATATTAAAAAACCCACAGACTCTTTGCCCATGCTTTTGTTGGCTTTTCTGCCTGCAGAGGAATGCATACCATCTTCAAAGCAACCAACCTTGACATGAAACGGAATTCTTTTCATTGGTGTCCCATAGTTTACTACATTATGGCGGCATTAGGTGAGACTCTGTCTTGTGATTATAAGCCCCTCCCAGCTGACATAGCCAGGCTAACAGCTCTGGCAAGAATGTAAGCACTTCAAATCAAGAAAAAGCCATATACTAAGGCCCTTTGAGACTTGGATAACATCATTTTGAAACAACAGATATTCTACGGTCTCTTGAAATTCACTTCATATATCACTCCTAAACATTGGTATACCAACTGATTTATGGGTGCAGAATTTCTTTTGTGGATGAAGAAATTAATTTAGAATTAGGCAGAGGCTGGGGGTGTGGAATACCATGAATTTACCAAATACCACTGTATATGTTATGCTCTGTGTCTACATGTCCCCCCAAATCCTCATGCAGTCATGGGGTGGGCTTCTAGATTTTTGATTGATCCATAGTCCAATGCTGGGATTATGGGTGTGAGTGCTACATCTGCCCCTGGGGTGGGTACACTGCATACAATATAAGGGAGGGAAAGAGGTTGCTGGCGGCTGCCTTTTCCCCCTTTTGCTCTTGCTGCTTTTGCTGTCTTTCACCACGAGGAACTGTTGCCCTCTGCCATGTGCCACTCTGCATTGGAGCCAGCTAAGTATGGGCTGAAACCTCCACAAACTGTGAGCTAAATAAACCTTTCCTTCCTTAATTTGAGGTGCTGGGTATTTTGTCTCTGCAATAAGAGAAAAGTAACCAAGACAATATAATTTATTTTTATGTAAAACTTATTTTAGTTTGGTATATTAATAGGTTCATGTGTATAGTGTTTACAGTCCTTGTGAGAAGTTGGCACATGTACATAACATATCTTAATTCCTTTTTTCATCCCTTTCCTTCCTCTCCCTCTCCCTTCCTCCCATCGTTTGACCCCCTTCCTTTTTTTCTTGGTACATGTTGCAGTACATATTGTTCACCTTATGTGGCTGTGCTACATGTATATAACACTTTAAATGGCTTCTACTGTGTTATGTCAATTCGTCCTTTTTTTAATCTTCAAAAGCATTGCAACAAAAATCCATCTGAGCAAGTGTTTTTACACAGGCTGCAAGAGTACCAAGTAATAAAGTGGGTATGGACAATCTGCTAGTAATTTTCTTCTATTTCCTTTATGAGCATCTTCCTTGTTAACACATATTTCATTTTTTATGGAGAACATACAGCCTTTTGTAGTAAATCATCTTAGATGTTGCCAAACTATCTTGTTGTGGAGTTGCCCTACTGGTGTTAACTGGAATGATGCTCAATTTCAAAGTCATGTCATACCATGCTTGGTTCTTATTGACTCCTCATAAAACAAGCCCAAATGCCATAATCCATTATGGAATATAAGTTATATTTAAGGAGGCTGCATTTTCCTGTGTTACTCTTTAGCTTATGTGACCATTCCTGACGATAAAATCAAACCAAGGAGACTTTGAGTTCAGCAAAGCTAAATCTATCCCAATGTTTAAGAGATAATTTTTTTCATATGCAAGTATGAGTCTGGAATCCCTAAAAGTAAAAAAACAAAAGTTCCTAAGTACAGGTTTCTTTTGTTTATTCCCCCTTAGTGGACAATCATGGGATCCAATAAGCAATACCATTCTTTTTGGACATCTGTCTAATTATTAAGATTCTACCTCTCCCAGGTTCTCTGACAAAAGAGTCACCTACTGGAAATTTTATAAATAAATTTGATCTCTTTCATTCTACAAATTTCTTAGCTGTTGTGAGAGTCTATAGTTAAAATCCTAAAACAAGGCCTATTTTCAAATTAAATTTTTAAGAAAAGGAATAAATTAAAATCAGGCTATGTCACCCTTGTGTATGAATTATATAGACCTTCTTTCAAATAATCCAGAAAACCAAAAAGTATCTTTGTGAGTAGAAGAGTACAGTAATGACTACAAAGTCGGTGTGGCTGGGGGTGATTACTTGAAATTTTTAACTTCACTGATTCTTCCATGCTGAAGTGAAACCTGCAATTTGGATACTATACCACAAGGTGGCAGTAGGATTTTGGTTATTCAGTCTGCACTACAAGACTAGACTTGAAGTCCTTAATTCTAAATAGACAGAAGAATCCCTAAAAAGTGGGGGTGGGTTTGAAATTTAGATTTCAAGAAGCCCCTCTCTCTCACCACCATCACGAGATTCTAGAAACTTCTATTTTTAGGGTGCATCTCAGATAATTCTCATGAATAAACCATTCTGCTAAATCCCAGGGCCAATTTTTCGTAAGATTTCAAAGAAACTGTCTTTGCTGGGCTGTGTGAAATTGTCCTGAGCCACTTATCTCTCATTGGCAGAAGTGCTGAGCTTCAGTCACGGGCGGCCTATTTCCTTTTACTCTGAGTGATGGAGATTTAAAAAAAAAAAATGCCTTAGTTGGTCCCTGTCATTCCCCTGTGTTCTTTGCTTCTTGTCATATTAGAAAGGAAGGCAAGTGCTCAGTGTCCAGTCATCCTCCCAGAAGTAGAACCCATCCTAATGGCTTCTGATTTGGTTTCCCTACATCAAAAGTATGAAACAGATTTTTCTCCTTTGCTTGGTCCCCACCCCCACCTATTAGACTTTCCTAGAGAAAATTCTCATAACCATTTGTTATTCAGTAATTGTTTTTATTTTGAATATTCATAATAATAAACATCTGTGGATGGCTTACTCTCTTAGGTTCTTTTTAAACCCTTTGCATACACTATTTATGCTTTACTTGTGCATGTAGTGAGGGTACTTGCTATGCACTCTTCCAAGCACTTGATGAATGTTAGTTTATTTAATTTTTATAATGATCTGATGATGCAGATATTATATTTTATAAGAAAGTTGGTCCCAAAGCATTTTAGTAAACTTCCCAAAGCCACGTGGTTATTTTTGTCTCCTGGCAGCCGAATCCTGTTCTAAGTTCGTGGCATTTCACCCCACAGCCACGTTCTTAGCTACTTTATTATACTGCTCTGGGTACTTTTTAAAGCTTCAGTTTATAAAGTGTCTCAGATATACAATTTACTGCATTTGTTTCTTGAAGAACGTATCCATCAGGAAAGTTTAGTTTGAGCTGCAGGAACAAACAATGCAAAATCTCTATGCTTTGAAAGATCAGAGCTCTATTTCATGATTACACCAACATCTTTCTCAGGTTGGTGGATAACGTAGAATCACATAATTCTCATTCAGAGGCTGTAATGGTTGATACATTGGGTTCACTTGAGAAGTCTAGAAGTTTAAATAAGGGACTCAGCATGGGACCACGTTCCTCACTTTGTGAACATCCCGAGCCTGTGAAAGAGGAGGGCATGAAAATGTGAGTACTACACCCACCAGGGGCAGACAGGTAGCCTGCTTATGATATAAGCAATGAAAAGAGGCTTGTCCCCACCCTTTTTGCTCTTACTGCTTTTACTGTCTTCTGGTGCCTTGAACTACTCTCCCTGTGCCATGTGGAACCAGTTGATTATTGATAGAAATCTCCAAAAATGATAAAGTAAATAAATCTTTCCTTTGTTAATTTTGGGCATGAAGTATTTTGTCTCAGCAACAAGAGAAAGCTAACTAAGACAGAGGCTCAAGATGACAGAACTTTCATTTATCTGAAACATAACAGACAATGGAAGAGAATGTGGCAAATCAGACACACACACACACACACACACACACACACACGCACACACATGCACACTCCTAAAGCAAGTTATCCATCCATATTGCCCTTTTTAGGTCATGAATAGTAACACTACCATGTACCTTAAAGGAAAAACTTCTAGTGCAGTAGGACATTAACTATTTCCATAATTTATATTCCTCACACAGAGTAAAATAACCCAACACATCTTAAAAGGGGGCACAGTAAGATGACTGAGTAGAGAAGTACAATATCTGCACTGAGCACACACGCACAAAAGGACAAAAACATAAGTAATCAACTATATCCTGACTGGGGAGAGAAACAGGGTGTAGCACCGAGTGGTGGAGATGCTCTGGGCCATGCAGACTTGGGATGGACACATAGAGAGAACAGATTTCCTCAGCTCTGCCACCCTCCACTGCCAAGGGTAAGGCACAGCTCAGAACCAAGAAGGAATTCTCCCAGAGAGAGAAAGATAAGCCAAAGCCACTCAGGAGTCTCTATTTAAAAACCATGAACAACTGCAGTGTTTGCTGCCAGAGAATTCTGCAGTCCTTGCAGACTGTGAACCCAGACTAGGAAGCTACTTGGAGTACACACCAAAGATGGAGACCACACTGTGCCTACTGCCCCATAACTGCAAGCCGGTGGTACAGTCTTGAGATTGCAGTCACTGCTAGTGTGTCCTGCGATGGGTATCAGTAGCCACCACGTCACCCCAGCATTATGGCTCTCCCATCAGTGCACTATGCTAACACATGTGCTAGAGTGTCCCAAAACGTGGCTGTGAGGGTTCAAAACCCCTTGGAACAACCATGATCCTACACAAGAGCCCAATGGCACCCTGTCTCCCATGGAATCAGAGATCCTGCCCAGTGAGAAGAAGATATCATTACCCCAGAAGCCAGTGGGTCCCCTTCTGTGCAGGAGCCTGTGAAAACCCTGCCCCTGTGCAGAGGAGACTACACTCAGTGGAGACCGACCATCCCCTGATTGGGTCACCAGTGGGGAGGTCGCAGTTGACCCAATGGAAAGCACTCCTTCATCCACATGGTGTACAGCAAAGACTCTGCTCCCAATCCAGTGCAGCAATTGCATAGACTCCCACAGCCCAGGTCACTCAGAGACTCACAAACTTTGCTGACATTGACCACAGCTGAAAAAACAGAATGGAGGCTGCATAACTAGACTTACCTGGAACCAAGCCCAACACACACTACCCAAGCAACACATGGCTACAGGTAAAAGTGTTTCCCTGGGAAAGTTACACTTGAGAATCAGAAAGCATGGCTGTTCCACTGGATGTGCAGGCATCAACACAAAAATGCAGGAAGCACAAAAGAGCAAGGAAACATGCCACCACCAAAGAATGACGATAGCCATCCTATAACTGACCCCCAAAGAAAAAATTTGCAAACCGCTTATAAAAGAATTTTTAAATAAGTAAATAAATAAACCAAAAAAACTCAGTGAGATAGGCTATTCGACAGTGTCAGGAAGACAACTCATGCTCTAAATGAGAAATTTAGAGTCGATTGTTTCAACAGGTGAAATAAAAAATATGACTGACAGCTTCAACCACAGATTAGATCAAACAGAAGAACGAATTTCTGAATTTGAAGAGGTTTTTTGAAATAACCATGTTGAAGGAAAAAGAAGAAAAAGAGAATGAAAAAAGCAAAGAAAGCCTGCAAGATATGTGGGATTCCATCAGGGTAGCAAATGTTCACATTACTGGGGCTCCAGGGAAAGGAGATAGAAAAAGCTACAGAAAGCCGACTTGGTGAAATAAAAGGTGAAAACTTCACAAGTCTTGGGAAAAATATGGACATTCAGATCCATGAAGCTCCAAGCATAAATTATAAGCAAACCAAAGAGATCTTCTTCAAGGCACATCATAATCAATCTATCAAAAGTCAAAGACAAAGATGGAATTCTAAACCAACAAGAGAAAAACGGCAAGACTTACATGAATTACCATAATACAGATAGCAGATCTTTCAGCAGAAATCTTGAGGGCCAGGAGAGAATAGGATGATATATATTGAAGGTGCTAAAGAGAAGAAAATAAAAATCAAAAACTATCTTTCAGGAAAAAAAAAAAGAGAAATAAAGTCCTTCCTAGACTAGCAAAAGCTGAGGGAGTCCGTCACTACCAGATCAGCCTTCTAAGAAATATTTCAGGGAATGCTTCAAAAGAAAAGGAAAGGTTGATAATTGCTATGATGGAAATATGTAAAAGAAAAAAAACTTCACTGAAGAGGTAAATTCACAAGCAAATTTAGAGTCCTCCATTATTGCAATAAACCTCCATCAAAAAGGTTAAAAGTCAAAATGCTCAAGGATAACCATACCTCAAACAAGAGGTATTGTATATTCTTTTAAGGAATATACAATATAAAAGGATGAAAATTAAAGTAATAACATTTGGGGAGAAATAAAAAAAGTCTTGAATAGAGGTATGTAACTACAGTAATTATCTTAAACAGTCTTTTATTACTGCAAGTTTATGTAACTCCCAGCATAACCACAAAGATAAAAAGTGGAGCACCCCACTTTCAGCAATGGACAGATTTTCCTGATGGAACATCAACAAAGAAACATCAGATTTAGGGGCTGGGTAGTTAGTTCAGCGGCACAGCGCCTGCCTGGCAAACGCGAGGTCGTGAGTTCGATTCCTAGTACCGGAAAAAAACAAAAAAATAGAAACATCAGGCTTAAACTGCACTCTAAACCCAATGAACCTAACAGGCATGCACATGGCATTCCACCCAAGAGCAGCAGAGTACACAGATTCCCAACCGAAAAGGACACATTCTCCATGACAGATGATATGTCAGCCACAAAATAGGCCCAAACAAATTTAAAACAATAATCATTCCAAGTACCTTCTACCACAAGGACATAAAGCTAGATATCTATAGTAGAAGACATTTCGGGAACTCTGAAAACTATGTGGAAAGTAAACAACATGCTCCTAAACCACTCATAGTTCTATGAAGAAATTTTGAAAAGGGGCTGGGGATTTAGCTCAGTGGCAAAAGCGCCTGCCTGGCAAGCGCAAGGTCGTGAGTTCGGTTCCTGCTACCAGAGAAAAAAAAAAAAAAAAAAAAAAAAAAAAAAAAAAAAAAAAAAAAAAGTTTAAAATGCTAGTAACAAATAAATAAAAGTGTAAACAGCACACAAAAAGTTAAAAAAATACAAAATATTGTTCTAAGAGAAGATGTTTACAATAATAAAACTCATAGTAAAAGAGAGAGAAAAGCAGAGATAGAGAGGTTTGTTCCAAATAGTTCTAACATTTCAACTCAAGGAATCAGGAAAACAATTTAGATCACACCCAAAATTAATATAAAGAAACAAAAGATCAGAGCAGAAATAAGTGAAACATTGACTGACAAAGAAATTACAAATGATCAACGAAATTAAAATTTTGTTTTTGAAAAGATGAATAAAAATGACAATTCCTCAGCTAGATTTAAAAGAGAGAAAATGTCAAACAAACAAAATCAGAGATGAAAGGAAATATTCAATGCATATTACCAAAAAGCAAAGGTCGTTAATGAGTACTATAAGCAACTGTATGGCAACAAAGTGGAAAACTTAGAAGAGATGGAAAATTTCAAAACCTATCTGATGGAACTGTGAAGAAATAAAAAACTAGCCATCCAATAAGAAGTAAAGAGATTAAATCAGAAAAAAAAATCACCCATTAAAGAAAATCCCCGGACCTACTGAATTTACTGCTAAATTTTACCAAATATTTAAAGAAGAACAAATGCAAACTTTATCAAACTACTTCCAAAGAAGATAAAATAGAAAGAGTTCTCCAAACCTTATTTAGGGAAACCAGCAGCACCTTGGGAGGATGAGAGACTGGTCAGTTGCTATACAGTTACAGTTAAGTAGGCTATCTGGCCGGGCGTGGTGGTGCATGCCTGCAATCCCAGAACTCAGGAGACTGAGACAGGAGGAGTGTTATAAGTTAGAGACCAGCCTGGGCTACAGAGTGAGCTCAAGGCCAGCCAGGACTGTATAAGGAGACCCTGTCTCAAAAAGACAAACAAGCAAAAAAAAAAAAAAAAAAAAAGTAAGAGATCTGGTGTTCTATTACACAGCAGAATGCCCATTGTTACCAAGGATGCATTCTATATTTCAAAATAGCTAGAAGAGTTTTTGAGTGCTTTCCCCACAAAGAAATGATAAGTTTAAGAGTTGGTGGTTATGCTAATTATCCTAATTCGATCTTTACACAGTGCATGTATGTACTGAATTGTCACATCGTACCTCATATATATGAAACATTATTTTGTGCCAATAAAAGCATAAAACATGTCTTAACATTGATTTTGAAAACATTCTAAAAGATTATATAATAGTACAAAAAGAGATATTAAAAAGTTTTTCAGACATATATCACATAATTTTTAAAGATTCTGACATTGGATACATTTAAATGAGGCTCTTGGATTTATTCACTACTAATCAGCACTTATGTGAGATTACTTAATGGTTTTTTTGTATGAGTCTCTTCTTTTCTCTATATTCTCTTAATTACTACATAGTCTAAATGAGAAAAATATTTCCATAAAGATTAACTTTAAAAGAAAATTTCTCAGTGCTACCTGGTATAGTGGAATTTAAGATCTTAGCTCCAACACCAAATTTTGACTTATTTGAATATGAATGTTCATCTTTAAAGATAGGGTTTGCATAAGAAAGGAGCTATTTTACACAGTAACATGGGCATTTAATGGACATCTTTTTAGGCGAAGATTATGAACCACCTCCAAGGCTCTCTCAGCCTCCCCTACCCACCGTGCAGCTGCCCCCAAAGAATCATTGTTGTTGTCTAGGCTCCAACCCACCTCCAGCAGGTACCAAAGGATGATGTCATGGCTCTTTCCCACACCAGACATATTTCACCTCCTACCCAAGAATTTCATCTTTAACATCTAGGAAAAAAAGCACTGATACCAAAAAGCATTTGACGTCCACACTTGTACAATCCCAAAAGCATGGAGAAATCAGTGCCCTGTAGATAAACCTTGGGTCAAAGACAGATGAGTCTGTGCCTGTATTTTTTCCCGTGTCTCCATGAACAAGTTTCCTTAGCTAGCCTGAAGAGAATTAAACATCTTGGGGAATGGCTCCATGTGATCAAACAACATAGTGGTCAACTTGCTAAGACATGCCTTTGAGTTCTCCATCGTGGCTATTCAACTCTCTTTTTACATTGTCCCTGTTTCTTAAAGGTCTTCATCTGAAACTTTGCTTTCTGTAGAACCCAGGCCAAAATCACATCCCAAACATTGCTTTAAAGAGTCTTTATTAGAATGAAATTCACAGAGAGCAAAATATATTCTTTTCAATTAAATATGTACTAGGATAACTACAGTCACTATTATCCACTTTCAGAACATCAACATCACTCCAAAAGGAAATCTCATGACCAATAAAATTCACTCCCCATTCTCAACTGTTAACTAGCTCTGTCTCTACGGAGTTGCCTGTTGTGGATTTTCACATGGATGAAATCATGTAGTATGTGCTCTTTTATATTTGACTTCTTTTTCCCAGCCATCCATCCTGCAAGCACTGATCAATACTTCATTCCTTTTGATCGCCAAATATATCAAATGTATCAGTATATCATAATTTTTTTATTGATTCATTAGTTGGCAGACATCTAGACTAATTCCAGTTGGGTGCTATTATGAATACCATTCTTATGAACGTTCACATACAGATGATTTTAACCTGTCAAAATGTGATCTAATTTTTTCCTACTCAGCTATTCCTTCCCCAGCCTTTCCCATCTCAGTAAATAGCACTGTCATCAAATAACTCTGGATGAAAATTTAATTTCTTTAATCACAGTTTCATCATCTAACATGTTACCAGCTTCAGCCAGCTCTGCCTCTAATATACATCCCAAGGTCATCAGCTTTCCCATTCCCAGTGCTGCCACCTGGTTCAGGGACCGTCGTCTCTGCCCTGGACTCCTCCTGCCGCAACCTTTGCCCTGCCTCCTCTCTCCCCCACTTCGACTTATCCACCGGATTAGAGATTCCTCCCAAATATCAGCCACTGTGGCTTTTTCAAAGTAAAGTGTCTTTTATCCGACTTTGAAACCTTTCAGTGACTTCCCATTGTTCTTAGGAAAAAACTGAAACTTTTATTTTAAAGAGAAAAAAACCCCAAAACTTCAAAACAAGATAACAAGGTAGTAGTGGTTGACACATTGTGTATTGTTACCTTTAAATTAGTTACTCAGAGTACAAGATATCGGCATTGAACTGTCCAAACAATATTAGTACAAACTTTTCTTTTCAATAAACTAAGAGCAATTAGTAGTATACTTTAACTATCATATATATATGATATGATAGTGATATGGGTAGATATATGGATATATAATATGATATGATATGATGTGGCTAGATATATGATCTCCACCTTCTTCATCACTAGAATGCTGGGAAAGAAGGCATGGTGTCTGTCTCGCCCACTATTGTATCTCCAGTGTCTTCTATTGTTCCTAGTTGATAAATAGGTGGAACTCAATAAAAATATCTTACTATCTTGAATGCATGGATAAGAGGGTTGTTCTAAAGTAACATTAAACCCACATATGAGTTCAACGGGTGGAGGAAAACAGGATATTATGAAGAAGGAACATCAAGACAAGGACACAGCAGAAATTTCGGAGGTTCTATGAGGACTGTTGAGCTGATCCTTAAGTCTGAGCATATGTAGGAAAGTTAAAGAGAGATTTCTTGCAGACAAGCACCACAGTTAAAAGTCAAATGAACATACCCACAGAATCGCTGAGGGGCACAGATAAAGAGCAGTTACCAAAGGGTGTAATTGAGGAAATGAAGTGCTCAGAACCAGCTTTGTGTAGAACATTATGAAGTGAGAACCACTGATTGATATTCTATCCAACTCATCAATTCAAGAAATAATCAAGAATCTGAGTTAAATGGGTGTTAATGAAAATAGGAATAAGGAGGTAGATTTGAGTAAAATTGTAGGGGAATTACAGGACTTACTTAGCAAGGAATAGGATGTCAGCCGTGAAGGAAAGAAACAAATCCAAAAACTCACTCCTGATACCTGAATAAATGTGGTTCTGCTAAAGGCAAGAGAGAAGTTAAGAGAAGGGTTATGATATCTATGGGTTGCTTGTGCCAGGGATAAGCAAACATTTGTAAATTGTTTTGGTTTGTGTCTGCATGTCCCCGCAAAGCCTCATTCAGTCATAGGGCAGGCTTTTGGAGTTTATGATTGATCTGTGGTCTAATGCTGGGATTATGGGTATGAGTGCTACACCCACCCTGGGCTGGGTAGTTTTGCATGTGTAAGGGAGAGAAAGAGGCTGCTTACTGCCACTCCTCCCTTTTGTTCTTGGTGCTTTTGCATTTTCCACTTTCGAGAACTGTTGCCCTCTGCCATGTGCCACTCTGCCTTGGAGCCAGCCAAGTATGGACTGAAACCTCCACAAACTGTGAGCTAAAGAAACCTTTCCTTCCTTCATTTTGGGCGTTGGGTATTTGGTCTCAGCAATGAGAAATATGTAACCAAGACATAAATAAAGCAAAACAGTTTAGGAGGGAAAAAAGCTGCATACAGTGATCAAGATTATCAAAATAAGGAAAAAAGATTATGAAAAACCTAGCTTGAGGAACAGAAGATCAAGCAGGTAATTTCTTCATTTGAGGATCTTTAATAATACAGGAGAACTTGAATGTTAGAACTGAAGGAGATACAAGTCTACTTCCTCCCTCCCATTGCACATAAAAAAAGTAAAATATAGAAGAGAAAGAAAGTGAAATGATAAAGTCACATGCAGACTGGAACTAAAATCAAGATCCCTTCAGGCCTGTTCTATTACACACATGAATCTAATCAATTGCACACAGGAAAAATGGATTTCTTTTTCTGCACCTGTGATGCACAGACTCCAAAGGGCTCCAGTGACCCTTGTATCTTAGTGTTCACACCCTTGAGCAATGCTCTTTGATGAGTAGGAGGAAGAGGCTACAACTTGCTTCTAACCAACAGAACACGGTGAAGGTGACAGAATGTTCCTTCTGTGATCATGTTACGAAAGACTGTACCATCTGTCTGGCTGACACTTTGTCCTTTGCTGGTTTTGATAAAGTAAGCAACTATGCTGCAGAGACCCAAATGGGAAGGAACTGGGAATAACATCTGTCCAGCAGCCAACAGCTACACAAGAACAAAAACCAAGGCCCTCAGGGCAATAACTTACAAGACAAGGAATCCCACCAACCACGTGGAACCTAGAAGTACTCCAACCTTGAGATGAGATTGCAATCTCAGCAGCCTCTCTGAAGCAAGGCACCCAGCAAAGTCATATTCAGGATCTTGACCCGACACACCTGAGATAATGCAGACTGTTTTAAACCACTACAGCAAAAAAAAAGGAAAAGAAAAAAATCCTAACACAGACACACACACACACACACACACACACACACATCCAATCACTGTCCAAACAGTTCCAAAATTTATCACAAATTTATTTAACTTTATCCTTCTCCACTATCATTAGTCACCAAGAATCAATGCTTTGCTCCCTACACTGTCTGCCTCAACTTCAAATTAAACTTCTTTTCTGTACATTGCCTGGCAGAAAGAACAGGAGGCACGGAACTGGCTGCTCTTCAGCAACTGTGAAGACACCGTTTTACCAATACATTCACTTTTTTTTTTTTTTTTTTTTGGTACCAAGAATCAAACTCAGGACCTTGCGCTTGCCAGGCAGGTGCTTGTGCCACTGAGCTGTATCCCCAGCCCTAATACTTTCACCTTTGCACTGGACTATCAATATCACACACACCTGACTCAGAAATCCCATGCACACCTCACCCGCTTTCT